TGACTATAGCCGCTTAAGTGAAAGCAAAATTACGAAAGTATCCATGCTTTTCAGGGTTCCAATGCTGAAAAATGGCAAGTTGGTCACCTTCCACAATTTTTTCAAAGAGCTAACTGAGTGAAATGAAATTTAAAAAGAAACAATCCTAACGTTAAATGGGATGATTTGACTACATCAATTAATTTTGTAAGGTAGTTTGAGCATTTAATTGATAGTTTCCCTTAATAGTATCAAAGAAGAAGTCCTTAAAAAAGGTAAGAACCTTAAACTTTGTATTTTTCCCAAAAGCCTATCAAAAGAACACCTATCTAATCTTTGGAGTCAACCATAAAAACAAAAAACAATTACCACAACAAACCCACTACAACATCCATATTCCATAAAATAAGTAAATGACCAAAACATAATAAAGAACAAATACACAAACCACCGATTCTCCACATCTTACCAAGTACAAAATGCACCCTAAAACCTTAAATCTTCCATCAAGAAAAACTAAACAATCACAACATTAGACTCACTATAACATCCATGGGATTACGCAACACAATATCTGCTAAAAACATCAACACAATATCCCATCTTGAACACCAGTTAAAACCCTCTTTTGCATCTATTTCAAAGATCCAGATCTAAAAAACTAGAAGTTCAATTAAGGAGCTTATTTGCTTGCCATAATTACACAAAAGTCGAGACATGGAGGCCAAACTTGCTAGAAGATCTATAGACATGAGCTGCAAACATAGGGTAGATATATATATATATATATATATATAGAGAGAGAGAGAGAGAGAGAGGAGATAAAAGAAATCCCTTTTTCTTAATTTTGGTTATAAGTTCATGGGGCTATACCAAAATGTTTTAGGAAAAAGATGAACCTGAATATTATAAAAGACCCGACTTTCTACACATTTAGAAGGGAAAAAATAAACCATAAAAAATTTGCATGATGAAACAAAAACAGGGCATCGACTAACCATTTCATGAATCAAAGAGGATATTCCCCAGTTAAATCCACTCCCATGCCCAAACCAGTCTAGGGAACTTGGTCTGACTAGTGTGGGCATCATTTACTTGTCCGAACAACTGGTCCTGTTTAGTTCTGGAAACACCAGTCTGTGTAAACCTATAGAGTGATATGCCTAAATGGGCGATCCATCAAAATGAATGGGGGTGTGTTCCCTCATGATAGAAAATCGTGGTCTCCTAGTGGACCTTGTCCAAAATCGTGGAATTGAGATTCCGAAGCAATTCCATGACCTTAGTAGTGGGATCCTCATAACTATGCTTCAAATGCAAACTACAAAGTCAAGGGACAATAATCAAGATTGTTAAAACCAAGCAGATGTGAATTAGGAAAAACAAAAGCGGCAAAAAACCATGACTTGAGAATGAACAAATGTCAAGCTTACTTCTACTGCTGGCAAGCCTCTATCTGACCCCACTCTACATTGTCAGTTCTTTAGCGGCTTGTGTATCTGATGATCACCCACCTGAACATTTCATGTGCAGGTTGTGTACCAATTTGTTGCCTCCCAGAATACAATTCACTACTTTGCTCTTCATGCGATATATTCACAGTACTATCACATTTTTTGGTCTTTATATCCTCACCTCTGCATCAGCTTCATGCTCATATTGATGCTGACTAAGCCAGTGATGTGAATGATCATTGCCCTATCACTGGCAGTGACTGCAGCTTTTTGGGTGATTCTCTCAAAACATGGTAATGCAGGGAGCAGGACATCCCTGTGCACTCTAGTGCCGAGGCTGAGTACCAAGCCATGGCTGACACTACTGCAGAGGTTATTTGGCTTGGCTAGCTACTTGTTGATTTAGGTGTTCATCTCGCTACCCCAACCCCATTTTGCTGTGACAACAAGAGTGCCATTCAGATTGCTAGCAATCCAGTATATCATGATCATGCGAAGCATATTGAGCTAAACTACTACTTTATCCGACATCAGTTTTACTCTGTTACTCAGCTCCAGCTCACAGACTTCACCAAGTCACACGCCATCCATGATTCAGATTTCTCTTGAAACTCTTAGTGGCCACCCATCCAGAGTTTGTTTTTGTGCGTTAGTGGGGGAGGGGTTAAGAGTACCAAGTGCTCTTATTATCTTATTGTAATACATTCAACGGTAGTTTAAGCGATCCCCCTTATTAGGGATGTTTTAGTCATTTTTAATTCTTTAAATAAGTTGTATCACTCTTTCCACGTTGGCCACCAAAAAAATATGAAGGAAACGTACAGGAAAAGGGAAAAGGAACCATGAAATATATAAAAAATTAGGAAAAACCTTACAGAAAATGAAAAATAATGAAAAGTTGATTTTATTGGCACACACTTCATGAAATATTCCACCAAATGGTATTTTGATATTCCCGCAAATCTTAGATTCCTTTAGATTTGATAGATAACATAAAAGTGGGCTTAGGAAAGAAACTTTGTGGAGGACCAAGCTAAGGCGGCGACAATTTCTCAACAAATCAACTACAGCCAAACCGTAGTTCCAAAAAAGAAAAAAAACTTTTGAATCCATAATTTTTATTTTTATTTTTTGCCAAAGTAGGTGCTTTCATTCAATAACATAAGTAAAACGAAGCATAGTTGTTGGAAACGCTTGGGAACCAGAATCGTTTTAGAAACCGGAATCGTGGAATCGCGGTCGAATAGAAGATTCTTGTCTTAGGAATTATTGTTCGTATAATAGGAATCGCTAGGAACGGGATTCCTAATTTTTGAAAATTGTGTTTCGACTGAAATAGATCTAAGTTTCATCCACATATGGAATCAAGATTCTGTCCTTATTGGAATCGAGATTCCCAACCCCTGGAATTGACACTCATTAATATGCGGAATCGAGTTTCCGACATCTATGCAATCGAGTTTCTGACATATGTGGAACATAGATATGTTGTTGTTTCGAATCGTGATTCCAACATATTTGGAATCAAGTTTCTAAAGTATATCGATCAGAGATCCATGCCAGTTTGAGATCGAGATTTACAATAATATGGACTATGGAATGCATTTGACGGCCCTTACGAAGAATCAAGATTTCATTCTTATGGAGAAAGAAGCCACAAGCACATCTTGAGCCTCATCAACTTGAGAACCTATAATGGATGTCTCTTATTAGAAGATTTCCCAAATTTGAAGTGATTGTGTTAACTATTGAACTTACAGTTACTATATACAAAAGACAAGTATTTCTAATTTGTGATTTTGACTTCATTATTATATAGAAAAAATAAGATTATGTTTACGCCATTGTTTTACTTTTAATTGTATGTGTTGTATTTACTAGTTATATTTTAAATTTAAAGTAAAGGCCATCCAGGGTGGCACAAGCAAAATAAATAAACCATGCAACCACTAGAAGCATTCGAAAGAAGATTTCTACTCCAATTGACGTTGAATCAATATCTAATCCTCACTGGAATCGAGAATCGATATATTTGAAAACGTCTACCCATAATTAATGGGTTCACGTTTCTAAAGATGTGTTGGATCGAGATTTAAAATTAAGCAATAAGTTTCCTTGTTCCAATAAATAGTTTTTAAAGATGTGTTGAATTGAGATTCCAAAATTAAGGAATCAAGTTTCCTTGGTTCCAAAATATGGTTTCTAAAGAAACATCAAATCGAGATTCCGAAATTAAGGAATCGAGTTTCTTTGGTTCCAAAAAACGCTTTCTATAGAGATTCCTTAACTGAAACGCGAAATCGGATTTCGGAACCAGAAACGCAAAGTCGATGGAGAGATTCCAGTAACTATGAAACGAAGCATAGGGATGAAATTTGAGAGCCATTGGAGCTCAAGCCAATAAAAACAATGGAAGAAAAGAAAGGGGTTTAGATTTCTAGTCTCCTCCTAAATTGAAAGTTTAGTGGACTCGACAAGTTTCTTTGAACTCACCAAGTCAGGTAAAAAACCCACTGAATTGCTACATTACTCGCCCAAGTTGGTACAATAACTAGGGCTAGTACTGCTACAGCAACCTTGATGGGTTTGGGAGTTCCCAGGTGAACATAAGTCAGAGACTCACCAAGTCTTAGAACATTAACTGGTATAAAAGGGTGGACAAGGTGAAAATCACACCCCCTTTCTTACGTTTATGTCAATGTTCTTATGCCATCTCTCACAAATTAATCTCTAACCATATTTTTCTATCCTCTATCAAATCTAAGCATCAAACTCAAAAAATTGTGCACCTCAAATTTGCTAGTTTTTCATTTTTGAACTAGGGTTTGCCAAAATTCAAAGTTATGTAGTTATACAGTATAGATTGTAATCATCATCATCATCATGATCATTATTGTCCAAGCCTTATCCCAATTATTTGGGGTCGGCTACATGAATCTAGTTCCTCTATTCTTCTTTGGTTCAAGATTCATGATAAGATGAAGAAAGTATTACGTTGGCAGTCTACCTAACGCAACCCATCTCCTTTACCTGGGCTTGGGGCAGGTTAAGGCAAAGTTTAAGGTCCAAATCCTTATTAGATCAACCTATGAGTATTCTCCACAAATGCACAGCGATACTAAAAGTCACATTGCATATATTAAAGGCTAATTCAAAATTAATTTCATAGGTACTACAAACATGAACGGCTAATCACAAGCAATATCCCAAGAGTTGCAAGTTGTTATACAGTATAGATCAGTTTTTTAAAATCACAAATATATTGTTACATTGTTTTTATCATTTTTAAAATTTTTATTTTTCTTTATTTTTTTTAATTTTTGTATTTTCATGACTTTTTCAGCACTTTTTCTTAGATTGGGGCGAGACACAACAAATCCAAATAGGACTCTCCCAGCCATTGCTCCAGGCACCTGCAGAGTCATGGCGAGAGTCCTGGTTTTCAAAGAGTGATTGTAAGTATAGACTCTTTCTAAACTGATGATATGTATATCAATGGCAGACAGTCAAAAAATAACACTCATTTTATCGAACTTTAACAAATGTAATCATTAAATCAATACAAACCTGTATACAGAGGAAATCAGCCTCAAAACTTTTAAGAACTGTTAATATTGCATTGGAGCGAGCTTTCCACCTGTAAAAGCAAATGTAGGACATAGAAAAAAATTAAGCGTTAACCTTCTGGAATCCAGTCATAAATTTACTTCTAAATAAAAACACATTGAACACAGTACCAAAGCGCACATAGTCCTCTTTATGAGTGCAGGGTCGAAGGCTAAAATCTCTGGTATCTCTATCTCTTTGCTAATGGTGGATGGGTGAAGAAAATGAAAAACATTGGGGTTTGTTTCATACATGAGGTTTAAAGTTATTTCTTTCATTTCTACTTTTACTTTTTTCTATTAAGTCAAGGCATAAAGTTGTATTCTTTCCCATGAGGTATAAGAAAGATTCACCTCTGCATAATGTGGAAGGTATGGCTACTTTGGAATGTAAAATTCAAAAATATAAATAAATAAATAAATAAAAATCCCTTTTCTCTATTTTGGGTTTTGTGGCCTTTAAAGGCCTAGAGAGCTTGTAAATATGATATTTAATAGTAGAATATGCACTTCAGTGGAAGTGTGTGTGTTGACTAACCACAAGTTGGGTGGTTTATGGCCCTAATAATGTCCAAAACCCTTACCATTGTGCTTGTGTCACTACTGAGAAGGGTTTACAATGGGTCATCCCTTGTTGAGGTTCGGATGCCCATGGATCTTTTGTTTGCAAGCCAGGATAGTTGTGTGGCTCCTATGTGCGGTTGTAGGCCTATGAGAGCAAAGGCTAAAGCCTCACTAAAGTTCCACACAACATGTACACATGACAGCTGCATTACTAAGAAGCAGCCTTTTAGATGGACACGTGTACATGTACATAGAGATAGCCCCTTTGTATTGTGGTGATAAGTGCTAGACTTGCTCTAAAAACAGGGAACTAAAATCCATATTCCATGATCATGGTCTCACTGTTTATTGTCCAACTTTGACAAGTCAATCATGAGCTCCTAAAATGAGATTATGGGTCATGAGTATTTGTTGGGTTGGATAAAAAACCAGTAGTGGATCATGATTCTTGGGGCAAGTGGAGTGCTCTTACTATCACTAATTTTGACCTATTGGTACCAATCCACTCCTAATATATTTTATTTTGGTATTAGAAATGTTTTTATGATTTTAAAATATTTTTTAGAATTTTACAATTTTATTTCTGATGAAAAATATATTAAATAGGGCATTTCTGAAATTTTCAGAACTTTAGATGACACATGTGGGACCAAGGATCCAGCTCCATATGTGTATGCATCTTTTTTATGTGGGGCCCACATGACCTCCCCTTAAGGAGACATGCCCAAAGTTTAAAAAAAAAAACAATGTGGCATGCCACATTTTTAGCAAAAAGGGAGGGGACCTCACTCTTGTAATTTGTTTATTCAAATTTTAAATTAGTTAAAGATAGGAAATCTTTTAATTCTAAATAAGATTTGGTTTCATACTATGATTAAATCTCTCTCAGCCATCAGATTTCCTAATTATCCTAAAGGTCAAGCTGGCAATTTGATAAGGCATACTTCGATTAGAATCCTATTGCAAGTAGGATATAGATTTTATTTCTATTTAAACAAGATTTGAGCCCCTCTCTCTCTCACGACCACAAGATTCTCTCCCTCTCACACCCTAAACAAGAAAAGAGTCTCTCTCTCTCTCACGCAACAATTTTCTCTCCCTCTCTACTTTTATTTTCACGCACTTAAGAAAGGAGAGGCCCCTCTTTCTCTCTCACACCAACCTTTCTCTCTCACACACACAAACCTCTCTCTCTCTCCCTATAGTTGGCTCACCATCTTTATGTGCTTAGTAACTCAAAGAAATAAAGGAAGAAAGATGGAACATGAAACCCTAAGTGGGGTTTGCTGATTTTTTAAGAAAAAGAGGTACATGCAGCCCAGAGGGAGATCAACTCACAATTCATCCCTAATTTGTTACTATAGGGTTTCTATAAACCCTAGTAGAATTTTTGAGCTCTCTAAAACCCTAAATGGAAATGTATTGCTTAAAAAGCTTCCCTATCTAGAAATTTTCAGCAATACCTAAAGGACTAAAAGTGTGTCATCAGTCAAGGAATCAGTGTGGGACGTATCAAGACCTGTGAGGGTAACTCCAGGCATCTTCCAGTAAGTCGTCCCAGTTGATTTAATTAATTTTCAACAATATTTCTTATTTTTCTGTGAATTTTCAGGAACATATATTGTACTAAAAATTATAGTGGAAGTTTGTTTAAATCCCCTGAATAGTTTCTAAATTTTTTTTAAAATCTTTTAACATTGTATTGGTTTAGAAAGGGGAATACAGTGTACACAAAATTGGCAATCCACAAGCGAATGCCCTATATACCACAGCTCCGAATGGTAAAAATTGCAAAACCTAAACAAAGGCCATTCTTACAAAATTACAGTGTCAAAATATTAGGGGCCATAAACACTGAGCCATCAAAAAATCTGCACATTATCCATTCAAGCTGCGTCCTTAGCTAGGGTGTCGGCTTCCTGGTTTGTTTCCCTCCAAACATGCTTCCATGAGACGCGTATATCCCCACAAAGGTGTTCAAGTTCATCAAAAATGCAAGCTAGAGTCCACAGGATAGGAGAGATTTTAAACGCCCAACTAAACATTCTTAGAGTCACCCTTAATGTTGATCGGGGAATTCCTGAAAGGGTGGAGAAGCCTAACTCCTTCAAGCAAAGCAAGAGCTTCAACAGTATTGGAGTCCGCATGGCCGATATTCTTGGAAACTGAAGCCAAAATGACTCATTATGGTCTCTGATAATTGAGCATATTCCCGATGGGCCAGGGTTACTTAAAGAGCAGCCATCAAAATTGAGCTTTAAGTGTGTCCCAAGGCAGGAGGGCTCCAAGCAGGAGCCCGAGGAGTGCGATTAGGGCTCGAAAGAAGAAGGTCCTCCCAATTTTGGTAAAAGTTAGAGAATGGGACACCTATGAAACTCTTATAGTTAGTAGCCTAGAAAACCATCGAGGATTTGATTGTGCAGAAGGGGCCTTCCATTGATAAGTGTTCCACCTTGAAAAAATCAGTCATTACGTTCAATCCACAAGGCCCAAACTGTTGCTGCCACCAAAGATTTCCACAAGGAGATGCCCACTTTAGACCACGGAAAAGGTTGAAGGGAGTTTAAGATGTGAGGCAGGCAGGACCCACTGACAGTGGAAAAGGCTTAGGGCTTTGCCCCAAATCTTATAGGCGAACGGGTAAAGAATAAAAAGATGGGCATTGCACTCTTCCGCAGCCACGCACAGAACACAAAGATTGGGAAGGGCAACGCCTCTCATCTGGAGGTGGTCAATAGTAAGGACCCTCTGGGAGAGCCACATGAAAACTTGGATTTTAAAGGGGATGAAAGATGCCCAGGCTTGAGCTATAGGGGATGTAGGGGAAAGGCGAAAAGTGGGTGGTTGAATGAGTTTGTGATAGAATAAAGAGACTGAGAATAAACCACGAGGACGAGGAGGTCCAAATAATACGGTCCTTACCATGGAAAGCCAAGAAACAATTCTAGAGGGAGGCCGCTAGCTCGGAGAAGATGGAAATTTCTAAATCTATGAGGTCTCTTCTGAAGACCGGGTTCCAGGTTCGAAGAGCACCGGCTAAGGTCATCTTGTCAGCCACTGAAGCCTCTTGGAATCGAGCAAGCGTAAAGAGTTGAGGGAATTGGACTTTAAGGGGTACTTTGCCAAACCAGATGGAAACAAATGAGGCTCTTGAACGAGGCTAGAGATGAGGAGATAGATCTCCAAACTCCTGAAGCTCTAGTGTTCACCCTAATCTCTGAAACCCAAGAATGGGAGGCTAGGCCATATTTGTGTTTCAGGATGTCGATCCAAAGGAAGTCCGACCGGGCAGCCAAGCGCCACCACCATTTCCTAAGTAGCGTCAAGTTGTGCTCTCTGAAATTACAGATACCAAGACCCCCTAACCTCTTGAGTTGGAAAATTTCTCCCAAGAGATCAGGTGAAACTTGTTATTCGCAACATCACCGGACCCAAAAAAACCTGCCAAGGAGTTGTTCAAATCATGTTGAGACAGCTGCAGGCATATGGAATAATGAAATCTGAAACACAGGGATATTAGTCAGCGTAGATTTCAAAAGGGTGAGCCTTCCAGCAGGGGATAGGAAGCGCCTTTCCAACCTGCTAGCTTTTGATCTACCTTATCAATAATGTGTGACCATGATCATTTCTTAGGCTTGCCGATGAAAAGAGGAAGACCAAGATAATGGGAAGGAAGATGCTCAGCCTCGCATCCCCAATTTTCCACAAAGGACTTGGTAACTTGGTAGTCGATCACAAACACCCATTATTTTGAACTTGTTGAAGTTAACTTTAAACCCTGTGGAAAAATCGAAACATCAAAGAAATAGGAAGGCATTGCAGAAGATGAGGGTGTCGTCTGCGTATTGAAGGTGGGTGACTACAGAGCCCCGACTACCACACTTGAAGCCGTTCATACTACCCACGGCAAACATTCTAAAAATAGATTGGCTGAACACTTCTGCAAAAATGGTGAACAGGAAAGGGGAGAGCGGTTCCCCCTGCCTCAGACCCCTAGAAGAACGGAAGAAGCCTTTAAGTGTACCATTGATAAGTATTGAAAAGAAGGGTTGGGAGTAACATGCTTTCATCCAACTCCATTTCTCCCAAAACCCATCCTGAAAAGGGTTTCCTCCAAAACACCCCAATCGACGTGGTCAGAGGCCTTCTCCTCGTCTAATTTAATAATGAGACCCGGTAATTTGGCTAGGTGTCTAGAGTAAATACACTCATGGGCCACCAAAGCGCCATCTAGAATTTGGCGGTCCTTCACAAAAGCACTCTGGGAGGGGGCGATGCCCAGAGAAAGGACCTCCTTCAACGAGAGGCTAGAACTTTGGATAATATCTTATAGGTAGAATTTACAAGGCTAATAGGACGATAGTCTTTAAGCTGCTTCGGTTCTTCAATTTTGGGGACCAGGGTCATAAAAGTTGCATTCATAGTTATGTTAATGTTTCCTCTCTCATAAAACTCATCAAAAAGAGCT